TTTTCTTTTCTTTTCTTTTTTTTCATTTCTTTTCTTTTCTCTTTTTCTTTTTCCTTCTTTTCTTTCTTTTCTCTATCTTTAAACCCTACTGACGATTCCAAAAGAGGGGTATGAAAGAAAATAAATAAGGCTCAAAAGGGCTAAAAGAAGGATAAAGTGTTTGGATAGCAGAATAAAATGCCTTCGTCATTCCAATTTTTGAAAAATGCCAAATACAAACAACGCAATTGACGACAAACCAAAGAAATCATACATAATATCTCTTGACTGCCTCAGAATTAACAGCCATATCTACACATATGCCTTCTATAGCGGTTAAATACAAAGAACCATTGGGCAACACTCTCGTTACAATGAACGGCCCCTGCCAGTTTGGGGCGAACTTACCTTTAGCCTCAACTTGATGTGGCCGGATGCATTTCAATACCTGCTGACCCACTTCAAATTTCCGGGGACGCACCTTCTTGTTGTATGCTCTTGCCATTATCTTTTAATACAATTGACCGTAACATACTGCCGCCAGTCTTTTCTCATCAACCAGACTTAACTGCTCCAACCGGGTTTTGACCCACTCATCATTATCAATTTCAGCTTCTGCGCCAAAATCCGAAGGGATGGAATCTCAACCTCCGCGGGTATAACCGCTTCATTCCATACACCAGTGTATAAGGAGTTGCACCTACTGAAGTGCGAACAGTAGTGCGATAACCCAGCAAAGCAAAAGGCAACTTCTCATGCCACTGCCTAGAACCTTGCACAATCTTTCGAAGTATCTTCTTTATGTTCTTGTTGGCCACCTCAACAGCCCCATTCTCCTTGGGGCGATATAGGGTGGAATTTCGATGCATAATCTTGAACTGTTGGCATACCTCTTTCATCAAATGGCCGTTGAGATTTGCAGCATTATCGGTAATGATTACCCTGGGGATTTTGAACCAACAAATGAGATTTGAATGAACAAAATTCACCACTGCCGTCTTGGTCACCGATTTGAAAGTTACAGCTTCGACCCACTTCATGAAATAATCAATGGCCACCAGAATAAACATGTGCTCGTTCGATGTTGTCGGCTCAATTGGTCCAATGACATCCATGTCCCAAGCAACAAAGGGCCAAGGTGCAGACATTGTATGCAACTCCGATGGCGGAGAATGAATCAGATCACCGTGTACCTGGCATTGATGACATTTGCGCACGAAGTTGATACAATCTCATTCCATGGTGAGCCAGTAATAACCTGCTCGAAGAATTTTCTTTGTCAAACATATCCACTCATATGCGGCCAGCAAACTCTGAGAATGCACCTCGGTCATGATGGTCGTGGCTTGTTTAGCATCTATACACCACACCAGTCCAAGATCTGGAGTTCTTTTGTACAAAACTCCTCCACTTAAGAAAAATCCACTAGCCAGGCATCGAATCGTTCTCTTCTGATCACCTGTGGCATGTACCGGGTATACCCCCTTGATGTATTCCATGATATCGTGGAACCAAGGTTCGCCATCAAGTTCCTCTTCCACCACGTTACAATAAGCATGCTGATCATGAACTTGAATATGGAGAGGGTCAATATAAGCCTTATCTGGATGGTGTAATAGAAACGAAGTTGGGCTGTGACAGGGTAGTGGTGCCCTGTTTCAGAAATGAGCGCAGCTCCTATTCCAACACCTTTCATGTTAGCGGCCCCATCAAAGAAAAGTTTCCAACTTGGCTTTTCATCCTGCTCAGCCTCGTCAATATGAATCACCTCTTCATCAGGAAAGTAAGTCCTCAATGGCTCATACGTTTCATCCATCGAGTTCTCGGCCAAATGATCGGACAAGGCTTGGGCTTTCATCGCAGTCCGGGTCACATAGACGATGTCAAACTCTATGAGCAAAATCTGCCACTTCGCAAGTCTTCCTGTGAGCATAGTCTTCTGAAAGATATACTTTAGAGGATCCATGCGAGAAATAAGATAAGTAGTGTAGGACGATAGATAATGCTCCAACTTTTGTGTCACCCAAGTCAAGGCGCAACACGTCCATTCAAGGAGAGTATACTTGACCTCATAAGAAGTGAACTTCTTGCTGAGATAATAAATGGCCTGCTCCTTCTTGCCAGTGATATCATGTTGGCCCAACACACAACCAAACGAATTATCCAGGACTGTCAAATAAAGAATTAAAGGCCTCTCGGGTTCCGTCGGGACTAGTACAGGTGGGTTTGACAAGTACCTCTTGATCTTGTCGAATGCCTCCTGACACCACCAGTCCATTTGACCACGGCATCCTTCATGAGCAACTTAAAAATGGGCTCACAAGTTGTCGTGAGTTGAGCGATAAACCTGCTGATGTAGTTTAACCGCCCGAGCAAACTCATCACCTCAGTCATGTTCTTTGGCAGTGGCAATTCCTGGATGGCCTAAATCATCGACGCATCCAACTCAATACCTCGCCGACTGACTATGAATCCTAACAGTTTTCCCGATGGGAAACCAAATGCACACTTTGCAGGGTTGAGCTTAAGATTATACCTGCGGAGCCTCTGGAAAAACTTTATCAAGTCTCCGACATGGTCTGACTGCTTCCTGGACTTTATAATCACATCATCTACGTATACCTCAATCTCCTTGTGTATCATGTCATGAAATATAGTAGTCATTTCCCTCATGTAAGTTGCCCCGGCATTTTTCAAACCAAATGGCATTACCCGGTAGCAATATGTTCCCCTTGGCATGATGAATGCTGTCTTTTCCGAATCTTCCTCATCCATTAAGATCTGATGATATCCCGCGTAGCAATCCACAAAATACCCGATCACATGCTTGGCACAGTTATCAATCAAAATATGGATATTTGGCAATGGGAAGTTATCCTTCAAACTTGCTTTGTTGAGATTGCGGTAATCAACACACACCCTGGTCTTACCATCCTTCTTTGGCATAGGCACAACATTAGCTAACCAAGTGGGACCGCATGACCCGAATGACCTTCGCATCAAGCTGCTTTGTGACTTCTTCTTTGATCTTCACACTCATGTCAGTCTTGAACTTCCATAACTTCTGCTTGACGGGAGGGAATGCTGGATTAGTTGGCAATTTATGAACTACCAAGTCAGTACTCAAACCCGGCATGTCATCATACGACCATGCAAAAATATCTTTATATTCAAACGATGCTTTGATTATTTCTTCCTTGATTTGTGGTTCCAGGTGTACACTTATTTTGGTTTCTCTGTCATTATCTGGATCTCCTAAATTGATTGCTTCAGTTTCATTCAAATTAGGCTTGGGTTTCTCTTCAAAATGATTTAATTCTTTACTAATTTCCTCAAATGCCTCCTCTTCATCATATTCTCTTTCATCATCGCACTCTACTTCTTGGATTATTATTTCAGAATTAGATTGGCTTTTAAGACTTGGCCGAAAATTCCTCATGCATGTCATGTCATTGAAACCAGCATAAAAAGAACTGTACAAAGAAAAAAAATAAAAATGACACTATCAGGAGTAATAGAAAAGGGAAATTGCCTTTCATTGAAAATAAAGGATAGAAGGGTTTGTACATCAAAACAAGCGAAAATAAAAATCTGGATTACAACCCTGGAATAACCCAAATAACATAAAAGAAAACAAAGCAAACTACCAAAACTCCTTCTGAGTAGGGAGAGGAGTAGCCTTCCAATTATTAAGCTTCACTTTTGGCCCGACGAACTGCACATCCGCTTTGTTGGAGCCTTCCCCAATTTCCACCATGTTCACCTCATCAAAAAAACTCTGGAACCTTTCAATTAGTTCTTCATCAACGTCGACCACAGGCTTTGGGACTACTGACACTGGGCGCTTCATGACCCCTGGCTTGACGGAGGACCTAGAGAGGCATGGGATAGGCTTCGGGAGTGACCATGCCTTCTTTTCGACCTTTTAGCCCTTTTCACATCGTCCCCTCTGGGCTTGAATCCTAGACCAAACGTATCCAGATTTTCAGGTAGAGACACTAGCTGCACGGTACCTTGTAAAGATACGCCCAGACCTTTTCCCGGTATAAAACCATTCTTCAGCATTTCAGATGCCACCATGATAGATGCGGAGGCTAACTTTGGACCTAGAATACATTCCCCTTCCGGAATCTTCTGGGGACCCAGGGCCCCTTATCATCTTCGGCTTCAATAAACGGGACAGAGGTATCATTGTAAGCGCACACGTTCTCATCACCATGCACGACGATCTCCTATCTGTCCCACTCGAACTTTACCATCTGGTGCAGGGAAGAAGGGACTGCTTTGGCAACATGTATCCAGGGCCTGCCCAACAGAAAATTGTAGGAGACGGAGACATCTAGCACCTAGAACTCCATGGTAAATTCAACTGGTCCTATCATCAGTTCGAGCACGATATCGCCAACAGAATCTTTTCCTCCTCCGTCGAAACCTCGGACACATATACTGTTCTTGTGGATCCTTTCAGTATCAGTGTTCAACTTGTGCAGAGTGGAGGGAGGGCAAATGTTTGCACTGCAGCCATTGTGAACTAGCACCCTTGTGACCATAAAATCTTCGCATTTCACTGTGAGATAAAGAGCCCGATTGTGTTCCGTACCCTCCAAAGGCAACTCATCATCCGAGAAGGTGATTCTGTTTGTCTTGAATATCTTGTTGGAAATCTTCTCCAAATGGTTCACTTTGATCTTGTCAGGGACATGAGCTTCATTCAAAATTTTCATAAGGGCCCGGCGGTGCTCGTCCGAATGTATCAGCAATGATAGAAGAGAAATTTGAGCGGGTGTCTTCCTCAACCGTTCTACGATGGAGCAATCTTGCACCTTCATTTTACTCAAAAATTCTTCCGCCTCCTCTTCAGTGACTGGCTTCTTCACTAGGATTGGGTTATCTTTGAGTGGCTTAGCTTTCTTTAGTTCCTCTGGGGTAAAGCATCTCCCCGAACGAGTCAACCCCCGGGTTTCATTAACTTCCCCTTCCACTTCCTTCCCTTTATAGGTTACTATCACTTACTTGTAATTCTATGGAACAGCCTTGGTGTTATTTATCGGCAGCTGGGTCACAGGCTTAATAACAATAGGGTCGGTGCGAGCCCCTTCCATGATTATGACAGGCTTACTTGCTGCCCCCGGCACCACCACTTTCGAATTTCCTTGCTTTGCTTCAGCATCATATGGGAACCCTTTCACAACTAAGACAGGCGGCTTAACATTGGGCGGGCTTAGCTTGTCCGTCAGCCCTTCAACTGTTGGAGATGTTGCACTTGTAACAACTGGAGTTTTGATTGAACTACTTTCAGTGGCACAGATCATCATGACATACTGAAGGCTTCTCGGTCGCCCCATCCTTATACACTATCTCAATCATGTGCGTTTCAGCATGGGCTGGCAATGGATTTTGATTAATGTTTGGAGTTTCCGGGCTCTGGACCATAATTTGGTTTGTGTCAATGAGCTCCTGGATGGCGTTCTTCAAATGACAACACTTTTCTGTGTCGTGCCCTAGAGCATCAGAACAATATGCACATCTGAGGGAATAATCCAGGTTCTTTGGAGAGGGATTTGGTAATTTTGACTCAATTGGCCTTAGAACATCCAACTGCCTCAACCTCTGAAACAAGCTAGTATAAAACTCCCCAAGCGGGGTGAAAGTCTTCTTCCGCTGCTTCCTTTCATTTTGGTACTCCAGCTTGGGTCGAAAGCTTGGACCAGTAGGGTTTCGGTATGTTTGTAGAGGGGGATAAGGATTTTGTGGAGCTGGTGCACGCCATTGCGAGTAAGGAGGGGGTTGAGCATACGACTGTGCGTGGTGGACGTGGTATTGGGGTGATCTGATGGAATATTGAGGGTTTTGTGGTGGGTAGTAGTGTTGGGGTGGATTATATGGGGTTTGGGTGTAGGCCTGAGGTTGGGGTCGAGGCTGGGTGTAATGGTGTGGTGAATCCCTTGGGCCATGCCACGATCTTGAGGCGATCATATCAACATCTTCTTTATTCTTCTTCCCTAACACACCCCCGGTGCCATTCTGGATTGCTTGTGTAGTTGCTTTGATGGCGGAGTAACTCATGATCTTGCTTGACTTGAGTCCTTCCTCTACCATCCCTCCCATCTTCACCACTTCATTGAAAGACTTATCTATGGCCGAGATCAGATGACCAAAATAAGTAGGCTCCAAGGCCTGAAGAAAGTACTCTACCATTTCAGCTTCCTCCATTTGAGGGTTGACTCGTGCCGCCTGTTCTCTCCACCGGGAACCATACTCCCTAAAGCTCTCACCATGCTTTTTCTCTATCTTAGTCAAGGATAGGCGATCTGGAACAATCTCTATGTTGTACTGGAAATGCCGAGCGAAAGCCTGGGCCAAGTCGTCCCAGGTGTACCACCTGCTGTTGTCCTGGCGGTTGTACCACTCTAACGCTGCATCACTCAAACTTTGATAAAAATATGCCATTAACAATTCATCTTTCCCACCAGCACCTCCCATTTTGCTACAAAATCCTCTTAAGTGTGCCACGGGGTCTCCACGCCCGTCGTACAAGTCAAACTTGGGCATTTTGAATCCGGCAGGTAGCTGGACATCAGGAAACAAACACAGATCTCTATATGCCACACTCACTTGGCCACCTAACCCTTGCATATTTCTCAGCGATTGCGCCAAACTCTTTACCTTCCTAAATATCTCCTCTCACTCCGTGTTTTTGGGAGGCTTCTCAGTTTCGACAGGAAGTTCAAAGTGAGGAGTGTTAAGAGTAATGATCCGCGACTTTAGAAGTAGGCTCTGGGGCATAGTATTGGTTATCTTGGGCTTGGAATGCTGGCTCACTGCAAGATTGATGGAGGGTAGCCGACGGAGGTGCTACAAAGATAGGGACAGCCGGCGGAGTAGGGTGAGAAGTTGCTTTGGCTGGTGGAGCTTGGATGGCTTAGGAAGAGGTGCCAGGATAGTAATGGTAAGGGGTAAAGCTTGGTGCGTGCTGTGGGACAGATCAACAATGGTGGACTCTTGAGACTGAGCTAGTGGCGGGATGAAAGCAGGGTTGGCAGGGTATGACGTTGGAGGATGCCCCTTCATCCATGCCTGGTACATTTCGCCCATTTGGTGCTTCAGCTTATATACCTCTTCTTTCAAACCAGACTCAGATTCCTCCATCTCTTTTGGCGGGTCAATAACACTTGCGTCCAATTCCTTGCTAGCCATGATCACCTTGTGTTTAGACCTGGTGTTATACGGGTGACTTGCCAGAATGCCAAACAAACTAACCACCTTCCTGGACTCAATAACAAATGCAAACATGTTAGCGTTTAAGAGTTTAACAGATAGGCAACCGCACATTTGGGATGCAATGCACCTGAACAGTTAACCGCTTATATTATGTATTTGAACGACTGCATGCTTCATCCCGGCCTTAACTAACTTTTCCACTTTGCACTTTCTCTTCTCTCTTTTCTATTTTACTCCTTCCTTTCTTTACTTGGCTCTTGTCGCTCCCTTTTTGTTTTGCACTTTCTTTTCCCTCTTGTTTTGCCACGCAATTTCTTTCCTCTCTTTCAAGTTATGGTTATGATCAAATCCTACGGGGATTGCCTACGTATCATGACGCCGCATGAATTAGATCATTACGTAGTTCATGGGATAAATGTGAAATAAAAGAAAGAAATATTTTTGGGTTTTCAAATAAAAATTAAAACATAAAAACATTCTGACTTTCCTCTATTACAATGACTCCATCATACAGACTTAAACACTAAAAAAACCAAAACAAGACTCGAAATGGACTAACATAATCTAAAAGAAACTGAAATACAGACTCGAAAAATAAAATCAAGAATACATAAGTGCCTCTAATACTGCTCCAGGGGCCCGCGGGACATCAGTCGGTCTCACTGCGGGCCTACGTGCCATATCTTCTTGGAGGCGATATAGGTCATCCATTATCTGGCGAACAAAAATCATCACTACAGCGAAGAACATGGACTTGGTCATGTCCTCGCATTCATTGCACTTCATCACAATATAGTTAGCAACTCTTCTAATCCTCTCCCTGATGATGCCCTTCTCTTGGAGCAGACGTCCAATCTGTTGAGATCTGGCCTCCAAAACTTGTGTGGCCGTATGATTTTGCTCTTGCAATTGATGCAGGTCCTCTTCTAGTTGCGACATCAAGGCATAGCAGTGCTCTCTTTCTGTTTTAAAGTTCTTTGCTTGCTTGGTCATTTCATTCTCAAGGGTATTGGTCTTTTTCTTCAAACCCGTGATTCCTTTGTCATACCTTTCCTTCAACTACTGAACGAAACTTGCCCGCTCTTCTGCATTCTTGGCCAACTTTGCCCGGATCTTTGCTAGTTCACCCTCAGTCTTTTCCAAATCAGCCTCATAGTTACACATTTTCCTCCTAAGTCGGTTTATAAGTTTTTTATCTGTTCTGCTCCTGACCGGGTTCTCAGCTGCTATTTTCATCTACTGGATTTGGGCTCGGAGGGCTTCATTTTCTTGGGCTAACCTTTTCTTTTCACCCTCATCCGCAGCGGCTTGCAAACCACTATCAAATTTAAGATCTCTGATTTGCCCTTCCAGCTAGCTTATGGTGGCCCTATATTCATTTTCTTTGGTCAACCAATCCCATTGTTCTTGTGATGCTTCAACAAATTCTTGGAGGTGGGGCATTTTAGCCGGTCTTCCAAACCCAACACTCTTTTTATACCAAGCAAGGCAACCAGACGAGACTTCACCCTTGGACAAATCACGTACTCGGGTGTTCTCCGTCAAATATTGGCACTCACTCCAGATCTGGCGAACCACTGCTTCAGGAAATTGGCCATCAGAGCGGATCTCGACTACATGAACGCTAAGATCTTCGTCCTTGGGGATTATTTAGCATCTTCCCAGCTATCTCAAAACACGTGAGCTGGATACTTCGAAGAACCATTAGGAGGAAGTAAGGGCCGGTGGCAGGCATGTATACAATCTCCTCAACAGGAAACCAACCCAACATCCATTCTATTTGATCTGTAGTTATGGAACGAAGGCGGGATATCCAATCTCCGACCCCTTATGGCATCTCGAACTCGTCGACCCTTGTACCAAACTCCTCGATGTAGCTTTTCCCTATAGATCCGTAGTTCAAGTATCGAGGACGATGACACATATGCTCAATCATCCACATTTGTAGTAACAAATTGCACCCTTTAAAAAAATCTACTCCGGCTTTGCTAGCTGTGAGAGCTCGGAATATCTCAGATAATATCATAGGTGCGAGGGTGCTCTTGGCATTGGTAATCAAAACATTGACGACTCCAGCTACCCGTAGATCAATATGCCCGTCTTTCCTGGGAAACACTAGAAGACCTAAGAATGCCACCATGAAAGTGAAGCATCTATGCTCTTCCCACTTTAGTCGGTTCCCTTTACTACAGATTTCGCTTTTCGGGTTTTCAAATCCTCCTATATGTCCTTACTGCTGGTATATGAAGTGTAGAGTGGAAAATCCTCCCGCCAAATCTGCATACTGGACCCGCCTGCTTATTTTTAGTAAATCCAGAAACTTGTGCGGAGTGACGGCCCTTGGAGCGACCAGGTATTTATATCTTAGACCCTCTGTACTCCCAGCATATCCCGCTATCTCCTCCAGAGTAGGTGTGAGCTCAAAGTCCGAAAAATGCAGAACATTGTGAGCTAGGTCCCAAAATGTCACCAGTGCTTTTATTATGTCTCGCCTAGGCCTAATCTTTAGTAATCCGGTGAGCCCCCCAAGTAATGGTTGACCATGTCTCGTCCTTGCTCACCCAAATCTTCCCAACACATCTGAAGCTCCAACGGGATCTTGGCCATAACCTTCATTAATAAATTTTGACTCGTGCTCATTCTGCACATTTATTAAGGTGATTGGTTTAAAACAAAGTGAGTTTTTGTTAAAAGTCGATAAAAGGGTTCATTTTGCAAAATTCAAATAAAAACACGGCTTTTTTTGCAAACACAGCCTTCAGCACCTCAAAAGGGAAGATTTTAGGGCTGTATTTGCTAAGTGGCCAAAATGACGAAGAAATCATAGGTGGCCATTTCTGCCAAGGCAGCCTTCCGGCGTCCAGTCGGGACATTCGGCTATTTAGACAAAAACGGCAGCACCGACTTTATTTGTGACGAAAATAACGACATTTCAATATTTTTGGTTATTTTTGCAAAAACAAATAAGGCTGGACCCGAAGAGGGTTGCCTACGTATTCCACATCCGGTGAGAATCAAAACCGCATAGTTCGGTTAGTTTTGACGCGACGAAGAAAAAAAAATAGCCATTTTGGACTAACCTCTTTTTTTTTCTTTTTTCTTTCAAAAATCACCCTTCTTTTTTTCAAAATTTTGGCAGAGTTTCGTGACATTTTGGACATCATTTTTGGGAAACGGGTGAAATTCTCTCTCACACCTCAGCCTTGGTTTTTTTTCTTTGGTTTTTCTTTCCTAATCTAAAAGCCGGTCAACATGCAAGCCGAAACAAATAAATGCACAGGTAGAACATAAAAAATGCATCAGGTTGGTCTGTTATTTTGGGTACACCTGTCCTAGACGGAACCAACCCCTGTGTTGAGTCCCCTAAGTCAAATGAATGTGATGCAAATAAGCGTTTCTACTAGGGATGCGGCATGAGGCTATGTTATTCTAGTTTTAAAACCTGGGTGTATTGTTCTAGACCTGGCTTACCCGAGCGGACAACTCGAGTCGGGGGGGAGGGTACGTACCAGGAACCAAAAGGCCATCCGACTTTGTAATTGATCCGAGCCTCGTTCTAAATTAGGGTATGACACTAACATAAAAGAAGTCATGCCATCGTGCACTTCCCAGAATATTAGAAGAGAAGGGTTTTGCAGCAATTTATATACAGTTCAAATAATATCAAAGCGGTAAAAAGTAGCATTTAGCACATTAGGCCCAAGCATGTAATAAAATCAGATAATAAATAAAAGCCAAATATAACAATTATTCTAAGCTCGAATTCTTGAACCCTGAACCAGAGATTCTGGGTTCGCTCCCCAGCAGAGTCGCCAGAGCTGTCACACCTCATTTTTCTACCTGGGAGAGTATAAGGGAGTTTTTCCAATTTAAGTGACAATAACCGAAACGTGATTATTTATATTCAAATTCAGAGTCTCCACTTGGGATAATTTATAGTGTCCCAAGTCACCAGTTTAAAATCCCGAATCGAGGAAGTTTAACTCTGTTTTACAGTCCGCGAAACACAGAAACCCGGGTAAGGAATTATGTTAACCCGGGAGAAGGTGTTAGGTTTTCCCGGGTTCAGTGGTTTTAGCATGGCCACTCAACTATTAATGTTGTCCTATTATCTGATTTAATACATATTTAAAACCTATGTGCATTTTATTCCTTCTAACCGCTTTTAATAGTTATGGAATTATTCTTGAACAAGTTACGATTGTCGTACACTTGTTTGTTTGGTACACACTGCGAATCGTGTCACGGGAGCCGTACCCACGATATACAACATGTTTAATTTATTAACATTATTAGAAGTTGTGGTCGGGTCACATAAATGTACCCCCGGATTTGGAAATTATGTATCACAACTACGTCACGGGAACCGTACGCGTAGCTATGATAATTTTATTATAAACGCACCTAAAGCAAAC